AATTTTCTCCATAATTTATTTATAAAAATAGTATCTGATCTTTTTTTTCATATTATTTAGTAATTCACGTATTAATTTTTTAAAAAACCGGGACAATTCGGGACAAATATTACTTTAAGAACAACCCGGGACACAAGTTGGAAATCCGGGACTCTCTCAGCCTTGTCACCTTAGTATAAGTATATTATTATATTCATTATGAGTATTGATATAATATATTTTAATAAAAATTTAAAATTCGAACCACCTATCATTGGGGGTATAATTAAGTATGATAATCCTTCTACAGTTTATATACAAGTTTGTATTCATGGCCAATGATAAAAATAAACTTAGCACGTAGGTGGTCGGTCCTATTAGAACTTGGTCTTACCGTCTTTAGCAAAAGCAATTTACTATCGTGTAGTACATTCTCATAGATGGCTATGAGAAAGTTTTCTCAGAACTGACTTGTAGTTTTATTTCTAACGCATGTGGAAGCGAAATTGTACGAATAAACTGAAATGGAAAGGCTAGAATGTTTTCTCTAGAATAATGCTAGACAATATTTTGTAGTTATTTTTTTATTCAAAAATTGCATTAACCCTTTTCACTCGGATTCCGTCGCTCCGTGCGGCAAAATGTATATAAATCTCGGGATTCGCGAGTGGAAAGGGTAAAAGAGTACAATATATTAATTTGTGTCACAAAAAAAGCAGCAGACATATATCTCGATTTTTATGTCGCTTTACTCTTTACAGTGAAGTGCTTCTATCAGCTATAAATTTAAAAAAGATTTATTACAAAATGGGGTTTTCCCGTGGATTTGTATTTAAAAGTATTAGAAGACTCAGATCGGATAGTAGTAACTTCAGATTTTACTAGCAAATATATATCAAAGTGAATATAGACAATAACATCAATTTCAATCATGTTACTAAGTGAAAAAGGCATCAATAAAAACATTCGTCAGTATTACAAAAATTGTTGTAACAAAATTCATCACATAGAGATTGGACAACGGTTTGGGTCGCCATATCTATGAAAACTGACGATGATAGTGCAAATCATCACAACAGTTAGAATTCCAAAGTTTGAATCCCGGTTCAAATCATAATAATAATTTTCATTGACAACTTTCATTACCTTAAGATTATATATATCTACTCGATCAATAAAAGGTTGAGTAAATGACACTGTCGTAATCTTAATATACCATGTTTTACTTAAGCACTTGGTCGTAAATTTTACGGTACCTGAATTTTATGTTTTAGTCTGTCATTCGACTTACAGATAAGGAAGAAATTAGTAGCTCGTAACTAAGTGTATCATCTGAAACATTCTGAAACGCACTTCGTACTTTGGATCTAGTTTTAGCATTTTGTACTAAAATATTTACCTAAACTTTATCCTATTATTCACTGAAATATTTAAAGCTATAATTCTTACAATTATTTAAGATTGAATAAGAGAGTATTAAAATTTTAAATCCTCTCTCTAATTGTATTTTAGATGTTATTACGTAAGTCGCAAATATAACCAAAAAATTTTCTGTGAGTTTTTTATCTGTTCGTATATTTGGTGCTAAATTTGGACGGTCCTAAATTCAATTATTATAATAGCAACAAATAAGAACTGTAAAATATTGTAAAGAAAAAATATTTTTATCAATTGCTTAATAGTTTTAAGCTCCCTTGTATTACTAAATGAATAAATACTATAAAGAAGGCAATGATAATATAAGATTATTTCATGACATTTTATTTGTCTATCTAAAAGATAAATAACAAATATTAATATCAAGTAATAAATTACAAGAAATAGCAACAAAAATTCGATACTTATTTAATCTTTCTTTTCTTCTTAGTGTTGCCTTCGATTCATTTCTTCTAATACTTTCTGAATCTATTGAAAATAAGTATCTTATACAAGTGATTTTCATTTTCTAGTTTTACATTTACTTATTTCAATACTTCTAAGATCTATTGAAAATAAGCATCTGATATAAGTACATTTAAATTTCATTATTGTACATTAAGAATTTCTTTATTGATAATTTATTATAAAATAAAATTTTATTTTGTACTATTCCTTATGATTAAAATTTTTTATAAACTATTCAGTTTAAATTTTATAATAGAGGTCTTAAGAAATTATTCACACTATTTTCTATAAATTTTAATTAGTAAATCCATTCGCAATAAGTATCCTATAAGTAATTATCCAATATATTATTGAATCTCATTGTAAACACATAGCAGCACATTCTATTTCAATAATTATATTTGATATTTTTATATGTACATAAGAATGTACTGATAGTAAATGTTTGGTTTAATGCATTTGTTGAAAAATATTTAATTTCGATAATACTGAAATGTAGCGTTTATAGTTTACTAAAATATTTCAGATGATAAAATTCAAAGTCATAAATTATTCGTGTAAGTTGTGCGAAAGAATCTTCTATGTTTTTGAATTATGGATAATTAGGAAGATTAATTATGGTAGATTTTTCTATACCTTTAAAAAAATTACAAGTGTGATCTGGATAAGACCAGATATCACTGACAGCGCTATTCCGCATCATAATTTTCCAATATATAGATATATCAAATATTTAAAATGATTTAAATCAGAGAACAATCATTTTCGTAAAGTATGTGACAGATTTCTTATTTCATGAAAAATTGACTACACTATTTCTATTCTATTGGCAGCACTATTTCACATACAAAAGTCAAATATCTGTGATATATATAAATATTGAAAACTGTGAAAATTAAAGAAAAAGATCCTATTGTAATTTAGATTTTCTTAAATCTTAGGAAATATCGACAGCTTTGAACTGGGAAAGACAAGAATTTTTCTCATAAGAATCTTGAGAAATATTAAGAATCTTATGAAATATTGCTGATAGCGCTGTTTCACATAGAAATTTTCGAATAAAACAGATTTATAAATAAAAATATTCAAAATTATATAAATCAAAGAATCAGAAGACAAAGCTGACGACCACTGTTATGAAATTTCTGTTATAAAAATATTTAAAATTATAAAATCAAAGAAAAAATAATTGAAATATAGAAAAGTGCTAAGAAATAAATGAATATATGAAAAGTCTCTAGTTCAATTTAAACCAATACTGTTAATCAGCATAACATTGAAAGAAATTGGTTTGGTAAAAAACGCTAATCGGCGCGCAACACATCTGGTGGCAGCGGTGGGATACAAACAATAACATTATGAGAATAATCTTAAGATTCCAAGCTAAATAATCTTCAGAAAGCAATTTTACACAGTTATGCGACAGATTTTTCTATATCTTTGACAACTGTGAATTATAAAATACCAGAGAGAGCTGAAAGCGCTATTCTACATCATAATCTTCAAATATCTTTCTGAACTAAAAAGGATTAGACACAGTTGGCAGCTCTATTCCAAATTATAATCTTCAAATATATGCAATATATAAAAATCTTTAATGTTATAATAGTCAAAGATCAAATCATTTTCACAAGTTATGTGACAGACTTTTCTATGTCTTACGAAAAATCGACAACTGTGAACTGGTAAAGAACAGACATTGCTGACAGCGCTTTTCCACATCATGATTGTCAAATATCTGTCTATATGTCAAAGGAACGATCTAAGAAATTTCTCTCATATTTGTTTTCGAGCTCTTCGACTATAGACAGTGGATGTCGAGTCTTTCGGGCCCGAAATATTCATGAGGCGGCCGATTGCGCGAGTGACTCACATGTTGCATTTGTAATCGCACTGGGAAGTAGTATATTTGTTCTGTGATGCACTCGGAATTTGACACCAGTCACTTAGCCTAACGAGCTTAATTGATTCAATGATTGATGATTTGGTAAACTTTCATTTTCTTTAGTAGAAGATAGATTTATCATAACTTACGTATGTATATATTTGAAGAATATGCATTCTTATATTTTGTCTATATTTTTGCTAGTTCGTTTTATTGGAAGTTGGTATTTCAGATCATTTCATTATTTCAAATAAGAATATACCTCATTTACATACTCGAACATATTTTTGTTAACTCATAGTTTGTAAATAATGTGTAAAGCATCTTATATATTTCATTTAGTAGTCTTATTACATTGTAAACTCCAGGTATGTTATTAATTTTAAATTTTATTAATAATAATTTTAAAATGTTTAAAATTTCGAAGCCTTCAAGATATCAAATAATTTTGTGGGGGTTTTCAAAAAACTTTCTTTAGTTGTGCATCCTGCATTTGCTAGAAATTTGATTTCTTTCCGCTGTCTCCTCCGGTCTTTACAGTGTCTTTTATGCAGCCGTTAGACTGAAGATCTAAAGGTCCCTGGTTTCGGAAAAATCTTTTGTCATTTCTTGACCAGATGTTATACAAACATTTAGCATCAGCATTTGCTAGAAATATGACTTCTCCTCTGGTCTTTACAGTGTCTTTTGTGGAACCGAAATCGCTCAGATGGGAGAGCGTTAGACTGAAAATCTAAAGGTCCGTGGTTCGATCCCTGGTTTCGGCAAAATCTTTTGTCATTTCTTGACAAGGTGTTATACAAACATTTAGCATCAGCATTTGCTAGAAATTTGACTTGATCCCGCTATCTCCTCTGGTCTTTACAGCGTTTGTCGTGCAGCCGGAATAGCTCAGTTGGGAGAGTGTTAGACTGAAGATCTAAAGGTCCCTGATTCGATCCCTGGTTTCGGGAAAATCTTTTGTCATTTCTTGACAAGATGTTACACAAACATTTAGCATCAGCATTCGCTAGAAATTTGAATTCTTTCCGCTGTCTCCTCCGGTCTTTACAGTGTCTTTCATGCAGCCGAAATAGCTCAGTTGGGAGAGTGTTAGACTGAAGATCTAAAGGTCCCTGGTTCGATCCCTGGTTTCGGCAAAATCTTTTGTCATTTCTTGACAAGATGCTATACAAACATTTAGCATCAGCATTTGCTAGAAATTTAACTTCTTTCCGCTGTCTCCTCTGGTCTTTACAGCATCCGTCGTAAAGCCGAAATAGCTCAGTTGGGAGAGCGTTAGACTGAAGATCTAAGGTCCCTGGTTCAATCCCTGGTTTCGGCAAAATCTTTTGTCATTCTTTGACAAGATGCTATACAAACATTTAGCATCAGCATTTGCTAGAAATTTGACTTCTTTCCGCTGTCTCCCCTGGTCTTTACAGCGTTTGTCATGCAGCCGGAATAGCTCAGTTGGGAGAGCGTTAGACTGAAGATCTAAAGGTCCCTGGTTCGATCCCTGGTTTCGGCAAAATCTTTTGTCATTTCTTGACAAGATGTTACACAAACATTTAGCATCAGCATTCGCTAGAAATTTGAATTCTTTCCGCTGTCTCCTCCGGTCTTTACAGTATTTTTCATGCAGCCGAAATAGCTCAGTTGGGAGAGCGTTAGACTGAAGATCTAAAGGTCCCTGGTTCGATCCCTGGTTTCGGGAAAATCTTTTGTCATTTCTTGACAAGATGTTATACAAACATTCAGCATCATCATTTGCTAGAAATTTGAACATGTAGGTGTATATATGTATATATTTCTTATATTTTTCTCTTTATTATCTAGTTTCTATCTACATTGTCTCTACTATCTTTTATTATCGTTTTATTGTTAAGTGTTGCTGTTCTGTTAACTTTTCTCTTATTTATAGTTTCTATACCAATCAACAAATCTTATAATTACCTAGCTTTATCAATTGTTTTTAGATTTACTGACAATGGCGAAAAGTTTGGAATTAAAGATTAATTGATAAATCTATTTTTTTATGTTTCGTTATATATATATATATATATATATATATATATATATATAATGTATGTTTTCTCAAAATACGCTTTATATTTTTCTTTCATATTAAATACTTTCACGAAATACCTAAAATATTATCAGACTATTTTTGGTATTTCGTTTGTATTGTTTTCATTGAATAATTTGAGTATGTTATGTTTCAATTTATCTGCTTCAATAATAATTATGGGAAGTAATAAACTTGTTTTCATAACATTAAATATTATCAATTATATATATATATATATATATATATATATATATACTCGTATATATATACCAAGTACTGATAGAGTGTAATGTAACTCAATGCATAATATAACAGGCATTCTTTAAATTTTAATTCAAAAATGCGAAACATAAATGAAAATCTTTGAAATATAGAAGTCTAGAAAATATCCAGAAGTCTAGTTATATAAATACATATTAAATTTAATATATCCAAATATAATTATAACGTAATATAATTAATAACGTAAATTAAGACTATTTTAAAACATGATTTACATCATTCATATTTAAAATTTGTATTATTTGTAAATTATTATAAAAGCTGTTGGAATGATGGATATTGTGATGATTTTTATTTACAACGGAGATTTTGAACTAGAAACTCTGTGGTTGCAGTTTTATAGGAGTCACCTTCACCCTAGAGAAATTCTGTTAAACTATCCGAAAAGTTTATGTGGCAATTCTGCCGTAATAGAGCTCATAACATAGCGTAGTCGTGGTTATGCTTATTTCTTGGTAGTGAAAACTATGAAAATATCTATCTATTTGCTGTGTGTTCAAGCGTATTTTACATATGAACAAGCAAAAATGATACTGGACCTGTCTCTACCAAAAACTCATTAGCACGTCTTCTCATCCATAGGAATCATTCAAATCGGTTGATTTATGCGCTCGAAATCGTGGACGAAAAATTGTTTCCAAACATACATACACACACACATATCCATTATTTCTAAGATGTGCTAAAATGTTCAAAAACCTTCGAAACGCGAAGAAATGCAAAAATTTTCATTTTCGATTTTTGGACGATTACAACAACTTACCTTACGGAAAGTTATAGAATAAATTAATATTTATGAAATTATAATTTATACCATATCGCTGTTGCACAAGCATTTGTAGAAAGTATAAAAATGTAAAAATTTTCTACCTTCACGTAGGAGCAGGTGATTATTCCATATTCCGCTTTTATTGTCTGCACAATCAGCGTCATTTGTTTGCGCCCACGCCATGCGCCGGCATCTGTTACTTCAGTAATTTTGCAAGACGGCAACAAACTGGCATCTGATTTATGTTATTTAGTTGAGCTTAGTATTAAGATATTATATATTTAAATATGTTGAATATGTCATAGGTTAATATGAGATTTTTGTAGACAAATTTCACTTTGACGTATTATGATCTAATCTTTTGGTATTTCTTAAAATTATTTATGAAGCTTGTGGGTTATAAAATTATAGCAATACAACTAAAGGAGCAGCACAACATGAGATATGAAAATATGGATGAAATTTTTATAAGCTATTTATAATAGATCTGTTGAGTCGAAATCTTCATAGAAATGTCACTTATATGAAACGATCCCGTCGTGTAGTAGGAATTAAGAACGTGGGCTGGTAATTGCTAGTTCCGGGTTCAAACCAATCTCGGTGTCTAGCAGTATGATATCAAATTTCCCTTGATTTTATAGATCTCACATATAGTTTTCTTTCATGGACATTGCCGCCTACATAGCAGCATCAACCCCAAAGAAGAGCATCTTGAAAAATTATTTTGCCTAAAGAATATAAAGCAAAAAAATGCTGTTTAATATAGCAATGCCACAACAATCCGCTATATAAAAAGATAGTAATTTAAATAAATGTAAAAAATTACTTGAAACAGAATATTGCATCGTGATATAAAAAGTATCCTGAGAACACCGAGGTTTCCAACCTGTGGTACGCGTACCCTCAATGAGGGGTCTTACTGGTTTAAGAAGGGCGCGATCATCTGTTTCCAAAATTCTTAAAATGATATAAAAAATAAACCAAAAAAATTAGTTTTTAACGTTTTATGCATATTTTTATATAATATTGCATATTCATTTGTAGAATAACAGTTGAGTATTTATGAAATTAAATTGTTGAAAAATTAAGAGGAGTGCAACAAATGTTTTTATTAGAACAGGAGGGGGCGCTGTGCGGAAAAGGTTGGAAACCACTATGCTAACATGATGTTATTGTAGATACCTCTATTGAAAATAATATAGTATACTAAATTATGCACTAACATGGCATATCACTAATTTAATTTAAATAATTTTGAAAACGGACGTTTTATTTACATATGTATGTCTTGGCATTTGAAATATCATAGTAATACTAAGAAATGTAAAGAAAATTCTGATTTCAAGAAAAATTTACTCTGGTAAGATTTAGATTTTCATCTTCGAAAAAAGTTTTTATAGTGCAAGATCAATATTTTAGAAAAAAGAATCTAACTAAATCTTGTTTGAATAAATTTATATTGTCTTTTACTCTCTTTTATTTTATGTTCAATTCCATTTTTATATATTAAATTATATTTTTATTTTACTTTTATAAATGTATACCAAGTAGACTACTGAAATTCACAAGAGAAATACATATACAATCTGCAAAGATCTCTGGTAAAAAAATAAAACAAGTGTTAATGTGCCTTAAGGCAAATTGCCGAAACTTCCCGCACCAAAAATTAAATATTTCCAAACAGATTCAAAAGTTTTGATTTTTGAGAATTTTGAAACTTTGAAATTTTTGAAAAAAATTACTTTTTGAAAAAAAAACTTTTTTTGCATTGTAGAGACAAAATATCAAAGCGCGTGAGCGCCGCGTCGCAGTCTAACGGATAAACAATGTTACGGAACCCATAGAAATGTAAACAAAATTATTAAAATGTGTAATGGTCAATTTTGACTTCCAAATTGCATTTTTTTAATTTTTTTCCTTTAAAATTTAACCAGTATTTTTTTCTGTCAATATAATTAAAATATTTTTTGTATAATTAAAATCGAACGCTTTGTTCTTTTACCATTAATGGCTAAATTACCATTTTTGGCTCTTTTTGCCCCGTATCTTTAAAACAGCTGGACCTGCCTTCCCCAAAAGCTAATCAGAACGTCTCCTTATCAATAGGTATCGAATATTTTCTGAATCATTCAGATTGCTCGAATCCCGAAATCGTTGAGGAAAATTTGTATCCGAACACACACACACGCATTCATCCATTTTTTCTAAGGTATGCCAATATATATAGAAACGTAAAGGTATATAAAAAATTTAATTTTCAATTTTTTTGCCATTACTATAACTTATCCTACGGGAAGTTAAAAATAGTTAGAACCCTATTCATTTAATATTGTTTTGTAAGCATAAATAAATAATAGGTTTGTTAATAATAATATTTATTGATTGAAATACGATTGTATTATTATATTAAAATCAAAACAATGTGGCGCGATAAATACTTTTTTTATCAACCAGTTGCCATGCGGAACCGGTAATAAGGTTACATGCAAATTATAATGAACTATTTATTATCAACGAAAGCATACAAACAATATGATTTGCAACAGTTTTTATTACTTTCGGTATATTTACATAATAATCTGATTCGAATCAAACCGATATAGAGTACCTGCGCCTGTGTTGTTTAATATTATCCAATCGATCACAAAACTTAACCTTGGCGGATATATTGCAATGTCCGTCTGTATGAATTCGACCGGGCTTTCGGGAAATTGGAATGTGGCGAGATGGGAAATGATTTGCGGCGATGGGTCATCCGTGTGATGTCGGTTTTGTGGATCCATGGGCCATTTCAGGGACATGAAAATGCGGGCTGTCATCCAAAGCCTTTTGTCTATGTGACAAAACAATATCTTTCACCATTCCATGAAATATATTGTGTTTTTGACGTAAACGATCATTTATGGCTCTATTGTTTCGTCTTGCGAATTCTACGTCGATAATTATTTGATACTGTTTTATATTATTGATATTAATGCATCTGCTATAACTTATCTTTCCAAGAATTGCTAGACTGAAGAAAATGGGCTGTAATGGGATGTATCTCATTACAGATAAACTCCTCAAGACCATAAAGCTATGTATACTAAAAAAAGACTGAAGAAAATGGGCTGTAATGGGATGTATCTCATTACAGATAAACTCCTCAAGACCATAAAGCTATGTATACTAAAAAAAGTCTTTAAGTAAAATTAAATTAAACCGCTTTGTCCACATTAATAAT